GGGGGGGGGGTTTCCCCCCCGGGGTCCAAAAAAAAAAAAAAAACCTTTTGGGGAAAAAGATTGGGGCTTGGGGGCCATTTTTTTTTGGGGGCAAAAGTGGCCCCAAATTTCCCGGAAACAAATTTTGGGGAAAATGGGAACCTTTCCAAAAAAAAAATCCCTGGTGGGGGCAACCCCCGTTTTTTGGGGGGGATTTTTTACAGGCCGGGGCCCTTCGGGGGGCCTTTTTAGTTTCCCCCCCCCCCCCAAGGGTTAAAAATTTTTTTTTTTCCAAAAAAAGGGCGGGGGAAAAAACGGGTCCCTTTCCCCAAGGAATCCCCTTGGCCCCTTTTTTTTCCAAAAAAATTATAATTTTTTTTCAAAAAAACTCCCGGGAAAAAAAAAAAAAAACCCCTTTGGGGGCCCCCGGATGGGGAAATAGGAAAAGGCCCTTTTTCAATTTTTTTTGTTTTGTTTTTCCCCCCCCCCCCCCCCCCCCCCTGCGAAGAACCAAGCAACTGCTAACACAAAAGAGGAGCAGATACGAAAGCCTCCTTATTTTCTCCGGTCCTCACCACGAAGGGGTCCGACTTGGAGAGCTTGTCGAGGTTTACCAGTTGTTTGCAAGAGATCGAAAGCTGCAGCCTGGTGTAGAGGGGGCCTGGTCGTTGATTGGTTGATGGTTAGCACCAACATCGCCAGACACCGAAGAAGTTGCAAGGGGGCGGCATTAGGGCACGCGATGCAGCAAGCAACGGTGGGGGTTAGCGAAGAAATGGCGGAGGTCAGCGAAGCAACGGTGGGGGTCAGCGAAGCAACGGCGGGGGTCAGAGAAGCAACGGCGGGCGTAGAATGACAGTGGAACGAACGCCGTTCTGTGGTTTGTCCTGTTGTTGAAGATGGGGTTTGTTGTATGTACTCGTGCTCAAACAGGCGGCGTGGATGCGGGGACCAAACGCAGACAGGAAAGAAGCACACCGGAGTGGTTGGTTCACGCACGTTAAGGGAAAACCCTACTCATCAGCACCAAGCGGTTGCAGAGCTCCTCCGGGTGGTGTTAATTCTGCTGGATTGATAAACTGTCTCAAGAGTTTCTATGCCAACGCTCGCCGGGTGGGTGTGCAGCAAGCAACTTGTGTGTTGGGAAAATAGCCGCTCTACCACAACGGTCGGCGGTACACGACCAAGCTGACAAATTGCAGCACAAACATCGTCTGATCTCCGTCCTGGTGGTTTTCATATTTTCGCCAAGACGCGCTTAAGACGCTGCTATCAAGATCGTGGTACTATTGCCGTCGCGAGCCGCGGTACTACTAGTGCTGCCTGCCGTGTATATGCTTGCTATACTTTTGGGGCGTTCAGCCCCGCTGCCCTCTGATGCACGCTTGGCTGCCTTACTGAGCGGCCAACCACACCGCCCGGACTTGATACTTAAGTTAAGTTTGATGAAAAGGTTGGCAGTCGGGTTGTGCCTCCCTTCCCCTTGTGTGCCGCGCGCCCGCCTTGTCGCTCTGTACATGAGTACGGGTAGTCTCTCTTTGATTGGATGTAAATTTCCTAGAAATATGGAGGCTTGCCCTTTTTCAGTCGGCACACCGGGTTGCTTGTTTTCCGGGACATATTCTTTCAAAATTCTGCAAAAGCTATCTCGGGCACCTACCTCGTAGGTCGCACATGATGTCACACCCCCTGGACCGCTTTAAAGAGCTCGATGATGCGGAAGGAAAAGCAGTGACGGTGCCGAAAGTGGCGACGTTGGAATCGTCTCGTCGAGAGGTTTTCCGAAAATAAATCATTTGTTTTGGGCATCCTCTTCGTCGTGGAGTAATCGAGCTTTGAAACTCGATCCAGGGTGTGTTATCTCAGGTCACCTACGGTATGTGCGATCGTCTTAAGCGCACGCTGTTTTACACCCGCCGTACCACGCGCAGAAATTTCGGTGTTCTTGCGAAACTTCTGACATGTAAGAAAAAGAGCGAACGACGCCTGCTGACTGGATGATGCAGCCGTGCCATCCCTGGGTCTTCCCACCAGAGCCGTTTCTTCTCTAACAGCCCTACAATCCAATGTCCCCTTCCAAGTCGAGGGGACACTATCGAGGGGACATTAGAAACGGCTTTTAGACAACAAGCGTGGTAAACGGGGCACGAAAAGGAGGATAAGATATTCCTCTTGAGGGAAAGCGAGACCTGCTAACCCAAGCCCTAGGTTGCCCGGTGCCTCATCTCATCGGTGGTCTAAGTACTTCTTCCGCGCTTGCCCCTACATGAAGTAGCGCTTTCCAAGGGTAGACAGACGCGGCGCAACTTCGCTATTGAACCCGCGGCCTACTCGTCCCGTGACCTGCCATATACCCTCATACTTGTCCTCTCTACAAAGCGTTCGTACGAGACTGCGGCTGTAGAGGTGTCCCCTTGTACCCGGGCACCCCCCGTTGTCGGGTAGTTCCAAAGGAGGGCCAAGGGAGGAGAGGAGACAAGCATGCCATTCTTCGCGAGGTAAAGCAAGTGAAGATGATGGGGACAAAAGTGTCCCGAGAAGCCGATCAAACCCTAATGGAAAATATCGCAATCGGGACACAACATCACGATTTAATCTTACACGTAACGCATCCGTGTTCAACGCGCAGGGGAATGACAAGTCAAACGTGCTTCCAGCAGTAGCCACCGCCGGATTAACACCGCATACGCTACTGCTGTACTGGGCATACGTGAGGGATGCGACGTAGCAAGGGGTTGAGGGTGCAGATAGCTGATGAACGACCACGCAAAGCCGATTACAAGCAGTAGTCTACACATGTACTTTTCAACAGTTGTCCTGCAAGCTCGGTTTTGGAAATTGCAGCTACACTTTGAAGTGTACAAAGCCTTGCAGACGTACACACCACCTCTTAGAGAGTCTCTCTACAGAACAAGGCGCCGTCGCTCTTGTGTGTGATGGCCGGTATGTAACTGCTGCTGTGCTACCTCTGTCGGCTACCATACCATATGCACGAGCTGGCGGCACTTCTTGGAACGCCAGCGCTACTGCTGTACTGCCCCGCCGAGTGCACTTGAAGTCTGTCAACTTGAGTCTGTATGAATACGTAAAGCATCGCAGACAACGCCTAGCAGCAGTGCATCTCAGTTCATTTCATCTTCTATCTCGCTTGGTCCAAGGCGAAAGGGATGCCTCAGCCTGCCAAGAGTGACCTGACACGGCGCCCAACCTGTGCACTTCTGAATCGCCATTGACAGCAGTGTTAGCAGCAGGCAGCCCAAACTATTCCACACCGAAGACCAAATTTACAATTTTAGACTACGGCTGTAACCAGCTCCCTTATCCCCCTCTCTCTATCGAAGTCGATTCTACCAGTTTGTTGGGGTAGCCGTGGGTCCAATCCGCAGCAGGCTCTCCCTAAGTTTTCTTCACCTGATGCAGACAGCATGCTTGCTGCATCTTCGGCCATGTCTGCGTAGTTGACGCCCGTTCCCCTCACGTTCGTAGCGTCCGTGTCATCTTCCTTCGAGCTCGCGCACCCCATGCTGTGCTGCTGCTGCTGCTGCTGCTGCTGCTGAACCGCTCCCGGGAAGAGTTCTCAATTAGTTCAACAGGGATCGTGTGCTGTGTTTGCAGTATCAAGCCAGAAGCTGTTCGAAGCTCTGCCCGGAGACTGACGTGCACAGACAAAGAGGTGGATTTTTTTGTCTTCTGGGTTCGGCTGGGGGGAGGAAGTGCCCACGGCGAGGCAACCGCAGCAGTGCACGGTAAAATGCGGCTGGATGCAAGGAAAGATCCCCGCGTCGCCGGAAAACTCCGACGCGCGATTCCCCGTTTGGGAACTAATTCCGCCGCGTTCTGGAAGGTGTACACTAGTGTGCACAAGGTGGAGCACTTCCTGTCCTGCAAGCACTAAAGGCACGAGGAAACAGGGTGGGACACACCTTGCTTCGCTGTGTGCCCTCCCCTCCACGCAGACCTAGAAGATAAGCTTTCTGCCTCTTACACAATAATACTCTCCGCGGCAGGCAGGTTTGAACCGCTTGAATACAACAA